TTTGTCTTTTGTTTAACATTTGTTCGCATGAGGATCTGAATTCCGACCACATAAGTCGTATTAATAGAGTAATCGGTGCTTATGATTGAAGAAAACGTATGTGGATTTTGAAATCGAAGCATAAAACGGTTAGAGACTTCTAACAATAAAGGACATTTTCACCTCAGTCTGGCAAGTATGAAAACCCTACTAAGTTTTTGCAGGCTGTAATATTGCTTGATGTACTATCAAAGTGTGTATATACATTACACCTATGAATGCATTCGCTTCAGAGGGTTTTTGCAATTTAAATGGTCCCAATGTGAAAATTAAACTGAAAGGTCAGTAACTTTATGTAAAATATATACTTGCCTTCGAGATTGCATGATAATTACTGTTAGCAATATCCTGGTGCGATTGCTCAAGGCATCCCAAACCACATAATCGAAATGTTTGGAGAGCTTTAAGTCGAAATTCCTTGTTCCATAACGATTTTATTACGGCTTATACCGAGAGATAGCGGTTGGCTAACATCTAGTGTATGTGTATAGATTAGAATCCTCGAGTCTAACCTTCGCAAAACACGTCGTGCTAATACTAGTCAAGCTTGTGCAGTTGTTGACTTCCATACGCAGGCGCATCAGCTTTACGACAATCGAAACTTCCCAGCGATCATTCCACAAACCACATGCTCTATGTCTAAGCGCACTGTTTTTTGCTTCGAGATATAGTTCCTTTTGTAGCAATTATCCACTTGCAATTTAGACTTCAGGCGCGCTTCATTACTCGAAGTAAAACTGTTTAAGCACCTTAAATTTGGCCGTTGAGAGGTTTATTTACCCCCGACGAACACCCAACTTCTGGATTTTAAGGGGAGGGGGGCGCTGTGCGAATTGAAGGCTTACTATGATATGTTCCACTCTCTCATCTAGAAGCTACCGCTTAAACCGTGGATGTGCCATGCTATTTAGCGGTTGCCAAATATCCTGAGGTCTTTATGTAGGAAACGATCCTTTCGACATTTAACTGTTTCTCCACCTTTTTCCCACAACCCAACTGATGAATTTGGCATGTTTCCCTATTGTCAGGTATTTATATGTTTTGACTCCCAGGTCTAGACATACAAGACATTTTACGCTAAGATATTTGAACTAACCTCATAAAAAAACAAATGTCTGAACAACTCTACTATTTGTCGATTTTGTAATGGTGGTGAATAAACAGCCAGCGGGAAATTGCGTCAGTTCCGTGGGGGCATTCATTTAATCATTGAAGAAGTAGAACTCGCTGAACGTACGTTTTCGATTATTCATTGCTAGAACTACACAGTAATAAAAGTTAAACCAAAGCACCGAAAGATAAAACAGCCAACGACTGTGGCTGTGGTGGAGAGGATTGAATACGTTTAGACATGTCGGTTATGTCACGGGCATGAGGAGTGAATAATGGTAAGGAAAGGGTTATAAGTCAGACGGTGAAATGTGCACGAGTTTCGTCGCTGCATCGCGGCATGAAAGGACGTGGGGACGGAAATCCCAGGCTCATCTTAGACCACAGTAGTTTTAAGGCTGGCGTGAACGTCTCTTGTGAGGAGAAGGCCGGGTTGGCTAAACGTGTAGCCACTGCCTGAATGGTTGCAAGTATCCGCCGGCTCAGGGACTTGGAGTGTCTCCCAGGCACTTCACAAATGACTGGGAATGCTAAGATGATGTTTATCCGGTGACCGTTGTCGACCAAATAGGCCACAACTGCACTAAAAATAGACATTTACATGC